AGAGCCTTCTAACCTAACCAGACTATTCATAAAGTTGCACGGTAATGTATCAAACAGTGTTTCTTTGCTATTCATAAGGCTTTCCCTGGCCAATTCTTTGAGAAGTGGATGGCCTCTTCCATCTTCCTAGTCTGTCAAACATTAGCTGTCCACCATAGGTGAATGAATCTATTTCTGGGTTCTCAATTCTGTTCCACTGGCCTACATTTCTGTCTTTGTACCAATATCAGGCTGTTCTGACTACTGTGGCTATTTTGAAACACCTTTATTTTTTTTTACAAAATTCCAAATTATGCCATGACTGGTATTTTCTGAGGGCTGTGTCACAGAACATCATTATAGAACTTGTAAAGGTTACATCTGACTATTTTGAAGCCTCAAAGGCTGCAGATAGTTATGTCAGTGAGATCGTCACATGGGAGCTAATTCTTTGATGAAGACTCCTTGTGGGGTCCCAGCATAATGAAGGTGAAGCATGACATGACCTAGAACTAAGAAGGGACTCCCACTGTCCATTAACCAAAACACAGTTGCTATAGAATTGACTCTGATTCATGGTAACCTCCAGTGGGTTTTCACTGGCTGATTTTTCAGAATTAGATCACCAGGCCTTTCTCCAAAGGAGCCATAGGTAGACTCAAGCACCAACCTTTTGGTTAGTAGCTGGGTGTATTAACCATTTGCACCACCTAGGGACTCCCACAGTCCCTTAAAACCAAAAATAAACAAACCCACTGCCATCGAGCTGCTTACCAAAAATGCCAAAATCTTTATAAATAGAATTGCCACCCAATTTCCAATTTCAGAACATATGGATAGAGATGTTACTTTTTGTTGACAATGCATCAGAAAGAAGAAAATTCCAAAAGCTTCTCTTACTTTGTAACTTCAGTTTTCCGCACTTTATCTTTGACTATTTTATTTCTCTTTCCCTTATGAATATTTACATAAATTGCTGTAGAAAGCATAATTTTAAAAAAAAATTTTTCATTGTGATTTGGAAGCAAATTTACAAAGCATTCTCAACAGTTCAAGCACATTTGGTTGCACAGCACCGATTACAATCCCAACAATAAAAAGCTCTCCTCCCATCTCCTGCCTGTGACCATCCCTTCTCTGTATTCTTTTCTCTATGCATACCTGCCTGTACAGCTTTCCCTCTATACAAATGCTGCCCTTCTGATCTCTCATGGTTAACTTATCTAAGGGGTACATCTCCCTGGGGTAGGTGTTCTGCTTGTAGGCCTTTCTACTGTTTGGCTGAAAGCTAGTCCATGTAAGTGAGTCCAGTTCCAGGCCCAAAAGATAACCTGGGGCCATAGTCTCTGGGGTTCCATCAGTCTCTAACTGACTAGTAATTCTGGTCATTTTTGTGTTTTTGAATTTTTTTCCATATTTTTCCTCCCACTCTATCCAGATTCTCCAATTTTGATCCTTTTGCAGATGGTTGGCATTGGTAGCTGCACCATCTAGATCTTCTGGTCTCAGGGTCATGGAGACTGGGATTCCCATGGTCTATCATACCCTTAGACTATGATTGTTTCCACATGACTTTGATTTTCTTCACTCTTCTTTGCTCCAGACAAGCGGAGACCAATAGTTGCATTTTAGATGGCTACTTGAAAGCTTTTAAGATCCCTATCACTACTCACCAAAGAAGGAGGTAGAACAATATTCTTATGTACTATGTTGTGCTAATTGAGCTTGATGTTGATTATTGCTATGGGTCCCAAGCCCATAGGTCTGGTGAAAGGTGGATTGTGTAATGCCATACTTATTGTTTTTCCTCCTGTTCTAGAATCCTTCCTTTTGTGAAATCAGGGAACACTTTTATATGTGTACATCTTCTTTCCACAGTTTAAAATATGAGACTTTAAAATGTCTCACCTATACTAGGTTTTCAATACTTAAAAGGTGCTTGGTTATGACTGAGAAGCTACTCCAACCTTCTCCCCTCTTACTTCTATAATGTATATGGATATTTTTGTAGCACAAATACACCTGTAAGAATATCATCAGCCAAATCTATCTATGGTCATGAGTATATTCCTGTTTACCTACCCACACCTGATCTTCTCACTTATCTATGCATTTATCCAGAATGCATAATTTTTATTTAAAATAAATTTTATTTTATAACAGTGTTACTTCATTTTAATTCACAGTAATAGAACCAATTAGTTGATGCACAGAGCTATGGAAATTTAGAATAGGGAGGCACAACAGAAGTCAGCATTACTAAGTACACAGTTGTGGATTTTATATCCATTGCATCAGATAAACTCACCTTGAGAAAAAGTTATATTTCAGAGCTCTATGGTTTTATCCTTGAACTCCTAGAGCACAAAAATACGTGCTAAGCTGAAAAGACAATTTCAGGTACTCACTGATTCCTTGAAAGAGCTCCTCAATATTAATAGCATTCTTTGCACTTGTCTCCACCACAATGGCACCTATGGATTCTGCGTACTCCTTAGCATCCTTCAAGGGGACCTCCCTGAAAAAGAGGTCAAAACCATAGAGAGATGAATGCTCATTTGACAAATACAAATAACCAAAGGAAACAGAATAAAAAGCTCTTGAGAAAACAGCTCCTTTATTGCTCCTATAAAATAGTAACAACTCAATCACTCAGCAAGTATTGAAAACCTAGTATAGGTGAGGCATTTAAAGTTTGAAACCTCTGTGGAAAGAAGATGTACACATATAAAAGTGTTCCCTGATTTCACAAAAGGAAGGATTCTGGAACAGGAGGAAAAATAATGACAAGTATGGCATTACACAGTCCAGCTTTCACAGTCAGGGTTCACTTTTTTTTTCCCCCCTAATGAAATCTCAGTTAAAAAAAGAAAAACCTTTTTTGTATGTGCTTCTGTAAGTTAATATATCATCTTTCACAAATCAGAGAAAATATCATGACAGACTATGAAACACAACTTGGTGATCTGCAAATGAGCATGGCTGGTTGCAGCTGCAACAGCTATGATACAGTATGACACACCTGGACTTTCACCGTAACACCTTGTTCCTCAGATTTTAGGACATGAACTCTATTTAAATGAACAATCTAAAATATATTTATTCATAAATTTTCAATGTGAATAGGCTGTAGTGGATCCAAAGACAAAAAAGACACAGTTCCTATTCTCTGGAAGTTTATTCATTTTTTCAAGTATTTATTGAGCAGCTATTGCATGCCAGTCCCTCTTGTAGGTGCTAGGGAAAACAATAATCCCTGTCTTCTAGAACCTACATTTAGAACAAAGATAAAGACACACATGATCCTTCTCATCCACAGCATTGCCACATCTGGAATATGTGGATAATAAAGTGTTTCAGGAATAGGGGAATAGAAAGTGATGCACTTTGACCAATGGGACCCAGGAAGATGCCCTGGAGAAGTTAAACTTAAGTGTGGCCAGCAAGATGGATAGAACATAGACAAGAATTTGTGATGGAAGGTTGTTCAATAAGAGGGAACAGCCTGAGCAAAGGCTTTTATTCCCAAATCATATTAAAAGTTGCCCCAGATACTGCCTTGGGCATCATGGGTAGACTTGAAAATGAATGTGTTGGTGTTTGAGTGGAGGGGAAATCAGGTTGGACCTTGGAGAAGGAGGGTCCACTAGAATAGTAGGAAGTAGCAGGACACACACAAAGCCTGTTTTGAACCCAGTGGCTACTGAAGAAACTGCACAAAATGGACTAGAGAAGGGTGTAGGTGGAAAAGAGAGGAACTTGGAAGCTCTTCTAATGGTATAGGCAAAAGATAATAAAATCCTGCACTAAGATATACTACATATATATATATATGTAAACCCTGCTGCTGTTGAGTCAACTCTGACTCATGGTGACCCCACATGTTACAAAGGTGAACTGTGCTCCTTAGGGATTTTTTGGTTATCATCTTTACAGAAGCAGATCACTACAACACTGCTGGGTGGGTTCAAACCACCAAACTTCTAGGTTAATAGTCAAGCACAAACTATTTGTGCCACCCAGAGTTCCTTACAAGGAGGGCAGCTGGGGAAAAAGGAAAAAAGAGTGGATACAAAATAAAAAATGGAAGGAGGAAGAGAAGAGATTGTACTCTACCTCCCACATCTCCTTCCTTCTCCTCTACCCACTTCAAATGTCTCTTCAATACTTTGAACTCATTTATATAGCTACTGGGGAGCTCTGGTGGCATGCCTAAGGCATTTGACTACTAACCAGAAGGCTGGTGGTTCAAACCCACAAACCACTTCTCAGAAGGAAGGTTGGGCAATCTACTTCCATAGTGATACTGCCTCGGAAACCCAAGGAGGGGTCGCTATGAGTTGGGTCCGACTCGATGGTAGTGTGTTTGGTTTTGATTTGATATAGCTACTGGAGGAATCCTACCTTGGCATTTAAACTCTTTATGGGCTCCACACCATGAGAAGAGAACTTTTCAGGAACTAGTTGGAAAAGGGCCTAACTAGAGTTGACCATATTAAAGGCAATTGTCTCAGGATTAAAACCATAGAAAGTAAGTCCTCTAAGATGTGTTAACTGGAATCTGTACTTCCATCACCACTCTTACTGAAGGCACACTAGGAAAAATCACAGCCCCATGTCTCCCTTCTTTATTGTATCTAACAGACAAACCTTCACAGGGATTATAATTAGTTTTTTGGTGGCAGTAAGTTTTACATTTGAAACATTTCAGTAAGAGGCCTTTTATATTAGGTTTGGTGTGCTACCTTATTATTTTTATTTCTTCCTGGCAGTTCTTATCAAGCCATGAATTAGAAGGGTGGGGCTCATATTTGCCCAAATGTAGGGGAGATAAGACTGATTCTAGCCTGCTAATCTCTGCTGGGAGTGGAGGAGGGGTGTGCCTGACAATTAGTGAAGCTTCAGAGAGTCCTCAGAAGAGAGAAATTACATATACCATTAAATGCTTTCTTAATAACTTCCCTCATAACCCAAGGATGGGGACAAAGAGGAGAATATGTTTCGCTAGAATTAAAGTGGAAAAAAATAGTCACTTGGTACACAATCCAAAATGTCCATTCTGAAGAAAACAGTAAGCAAAAAAAAAAAACAAAACCAAAAACCAAACTCACTGCTGTCGAGTCAATTTGACTCATACTGACCCCTCCTTGGGTTTCTGAGGCAATATCTCTATGGAAGAAGATTGCTCATTCTTCCTTCCAAGGAGTGACTGGTGGATTTGAACTACCAGCCTTCTGGTTAGCAGTCAAATGCCTTAGGCACTATGCCTCCAGAGCTCTCAATAGTAAGTAGTGAAGGACCAATTATTTCATAGTCCACAACATACGACCTCAAAATGGAAAGATATGAAAGTGTCCCCATCTCTTCCATGTTTATAAAAGAGTCTCATTAAAGGGCTTGCTTGAGATGACCCAGCTAATCAGAGGTAGAGGCAAGTTTGACTTCAGCCCATCAGTTCTGCCCACATTGCCCTTGGTCGCTGCAAAAACGGAAAGGAGGCCACATGTTCTGACCTCCTCTAACCCTACAAGAGGAAGACAGGATTACCAGCAGTAACCCAAGGCCTATTCCTGCCAGGCCAGACATGCTGCCTCCCCCCTTCAGCCCTTGCTCCAACTGTTCCTCCCAAAGCACCCACCACCTCTCTCCTGGGTTCAATAATTCACTGCAGTGGCCACACAGAGCTCACAGATTATGGCGTTTATTAGGGAAGCACCAAGCTACAATTTGAGTTCAGGAAAAATGCTCAGTCTCTCTCCCAGCCCACCGTCCCTCAGCCAACAGTCTCTCACAGTCTCTTTCCCAGCAGTGCTGGTCCCTCGGTGTCTCACTCAGCGATGCGTGTCTCTTGCGTCTCTTTCCCAGCAGCACGTGTCTCTTTCAGGGGCGTGTGTCTCTTTGGGCAGCACGTCTTCTTCAACCAGCAGTCAGAGAGAGAGTTCTGCCTCTAGGAGGCCTCCTCTTGAGCCCGGCAGGGTGGTCAAAACTAGCCAATCACAGCATCCGAACTCTAAGCACGGGTGAGAGAGAGTGGGAACCTCCCAGAACATTGTATTGTGCCACGCCCAACAGAAATAACCCAGGTGGGGACTTTAAAATCAGGATCTCTTCAGTTGCTAATAGCAATTCCCACCTTGGAGTTTACAAAGACTTATGGGTAGAAAAGCCACACTAAGTAATTTACTACACCACAGTCGCTAACAACACAACTGCCCATGTGGCCCCAGAAATCATCCTTTCAAACTTCATAGACAAAGAAGATATGGAGTTCAGAATATTCTCCAATGGTCAGGTACTCTAGAGTCAAGGGTGGAGTGGGGCAGAGGAAGGCACCAGAAACAAAACACGTTATACCTCCTCCTTCCTAGGCTGCTGGATGTAATAGTAAAGCACAGATCTGTACTCTTAAGAGTCTAAAGGACAAGAACAAGTCCTTCCAACATTAACTGAGACTAGGAGGACCAACCACTTTTGAGTCCACCAAACCATGTTTCCACTTATAGTCTGAAAGAATAGGCTTGGGAAGGGGAGGATTTGCTTTCTTGAAAAGGTATCTTGACATTTGGGGACTCTTCTAGCCACAGGTCAGGGTGGAGGCCCACCACAGCAAGAGGCTGAAGGCTGACATCATTGGACTTGCTAATTATGACTGCATGAGACTATGGTGGCAAGTGACTATCCTTCATTTTATCAACAAAAATTTGTTGAGGGCCTGCTATATAAGCTGGGCATTGTGCTAGGCATTGAAACAGGTAAATTGAAACTGGTTCAACCAAGTCAAGGTATAAACACATAGCTTGTCAATTTTGATGAGAATGACTATGTTTAGACTTTCTAGTTCAAGCTACACACAGAATGGTAGGGCTCCCGGAAATCACCCAGATTACTGCAATCTAACCGAGTCCCTCTTCCTTCAGAGTATTCCTTCACTCTTCCAAGAGCTCATCATTTCTGCCTGAACCTTAACTGTCAGCATTACTGGGATTTCTCCTTTATTATCTGGAGTAAAAGCAATAAGCTCGTCAGCAGCAGGCAGGCTGTGGTCAGGATGGGGCTGAGTGCAGAACCAGGGCTGATTCCCTCTTGAGACAGCTGGAGATACAAGGGGCTGGAGAAGTGGGAAAACTGGAGGCCAAAGGGAAGACTGTGGACACACAGAGTTCAAGGGGCTACAGAAGAGATTACAGTCAGGGTAAAGGTCAAAAGCTGAGTGGTGAGTAGATGAAACCAGAGCCGGGTCAGGACTGAGGATGGGGCTTGAGTGAGGCACAGTCACAAGCTAAAGGATCAGACACGCTACCCTTCCTCCTCTTTCTTTGGACAAAGCTCCCTCCTGAGCTAGCTGACTGTTGTCACTTTGTTGAAGAGCAAATGGGCTTCATGAGTATAACTTGTTCAAAGACTGACTAATGGCCTTTCATCCACAAATCTGCCTTCTTCCCAAGTTAGCTACCCTTGAGTCACCCAAAATGGTTGCTCTGTCACCTTCAAAGCTGAGTACTAAAGCCTGCTGATTCT